GCATGTCTATTCATAGAATGAAGGGGCATCCAATCTGCATTCTTTGTGGTTAATAGACACAGGAGGAGAGATATGTGCCCCTAATGGACCTTTTTTCATGAGTGGACGAAAACAATAAATGTTCATAATGAGGGAAAATTACACAAATATAGCAAAGTTGGTGAAAGAAATCAATGTTCTCTGTCACGTAATTTATAGAGCAGTACATATACTTATACCAAGTCACTTGTATACATATATTTTAGGCACCTAGCTCTAAATATGTTAAATATATGTTTGAATTGGTGTCAGTTGATTCAAATCTTCACTATAAATGGCCAAAGCAACCCTAACCCTTTCACTATCATGCAATATTTGTCTTAAAAAAAAGTATAGCATTTATGTGAAGCATTGGGAGTATAGCTAGGACACAAACGTATAATACAACAGCATTATGTGTATAGATTGTTGTTCTGACGAACATTAAACAAAACACAAAGAAATTAAATTATAAAAAAATATATTATTAAATTATATTCATTCATTGTTCATTCTTTATTTAAAAAAAATATATATATATATTTGAGGGACAAACGCTTTAGACAGTATACAGTATCCCTTATCTTGTAATATTTCACACAGGGTCTGAAACTTTTGTATAAAAGCAAAATAAAAAAACTCAAATACAAAATAAACAGATGAAATGAGCACCTAGGGGCATTACTGGTACAACTAGTATTAATATAGCTTATTTAAAATGGCAATTTGTAGCAAATAAAGGTAAATCATACATTTCTCGAATACAGGTATTTCTCAAATACAGTGCCGGGAAAAAAACTGCTTTCAACGATCTTATGACAGATCCGAGTATCCTCAGACGACCAGCCGATAAAGGAGGAGCAATTGTAATTATGATATATGAGAAATACAGGAATGAAATCATTCAACAATTATCCGATAATTCCACCTACCAACAACTCACATTTGATCCTGTCACTAAGTTTCAGAAAAGAATAAGTAATCTATTAGCAATAAGAGCACAGATGGGCTATATGGACACCAATAGCATCAAATTCTTGTATGTGGAACATCCGAAACACCCGGTACTGTACACAGTACCAAAAATTCACAAAGATGTTAACAACCCACCAGGGAGACCAATCGTCTCTGCCAGGGACAGTCTCCCAGAACCTATTGCGAAATATGTTGATTATCACATCAAAAAACAGTCTTGGATTTATTTACGTGACACTAGTGATTTTTAGGAGAAGATCCAAGATCATTTTCAGATAACGAATGGATATGGTTGGCGACATTGGATGTCAAGAGTTTGTATGCCATCATCCCTCATACATATGGTGTACAGTCTCTTAGGCAAATTTTGAGTGCGTCAGATATATACAAGGGTCCTCCAATAGAGTACCTCCTTGATTTTCTAAATGTAGCATTAACATGCAATTACTTTAAATTTGAAGAACATTTTTTTCCTCCAAATAGTGGGTACTGCTATAGGGGCAGCCTCTTATGCCAATGCCTACATGTTCATGTTTGAAGAAGAGCATATTAGGACCATATGCACAACACATCCGCACATATTACCGATTTGTGGATGACATATTCCTGATCTGGACAGGAACATATATGGAACTTGAAACATGGTGAATTGAATTAACATCTCATCCCTCCCTGTCAAACTCATGATGACATGTAAGGAGATGGAGATACAATTTTTAGATGTGACCGTTTACAGAGAAGAGAACAGATTGGGATACACACTCCATCGGAAAGATACAGATAGGAATAATCTGCTACAATCCACGAGCTACCACCCACAAAAACTAAAGGATTCACTACCCATATCACAGTACCTGCATGTACTCCGATATAACCACAACTCCGTTAATCGGGAGCGACAGCCACAGGATATGACAAATAGATTTTTGGAAAGAGGCTACCAACCTCAAATATTGGAAATAGCCAAGAAGAAAGCCATTGAAAAGTGAAAATGCTACATCGAACAGAATGAGCCACCTATGGTCACACACACACCAAAAATGTACTTACCCCTTACATTTCATACAGGGACTACATGTATACGGAAATCCATTAAAGGACCACTATATTGCCAGGAAAACAAACTCGTTTTCCTGGCACTATAGTGCCCTGAGGGTGCCCCCACACTCAGGGTCCTACTCCCGCCGGGCTGAAAGGGGAGGAAGAGGTTAAACACTTACCTTACTCTCCTCCCTCTTCTGATGTCATCGGCTGAATGTGCATGCGCGGCAAGAACCGCACGTGCATTCAGCCAGTCCATAGGAAAGCATTCTCAATGATTTCCTATGGACGCTGGCGTCTTCTCACTGTGAAAATCAATGAGACAGCCACTAGAGGCTGGATTAACCCTAAAGTAAACATAGCAGTTTCTCTGAAACTGCTATGTTTACAGCAGGCAGGGTTAACCCTAGATGGACCTGGCACCCAGACCACTTTATTGAGCTGAAGTGGTCTGGGTGCCTATAGTGGTCCTTTAAGAAATATTGGAGGGTTTTAAGCTCAGATGAGAATTTACCAAATATTTTTAAAGAACAACCAATTATTAGTTACAGAAGAAACAAAAACTTAAAAGATCTATTAGTCCGGAGCGATCCAATACAATGTTACCAAAAACCAGAGAAGTTACAAGAAGAAAGGATGCTACAAATGCAGCGGTTGCATGACATGTAGTCACATGAATACAGGAACAACGTTCGCACATCCACATAGTGGTAAAAGAATCCTAATACCTCATTACATTACCTTATTACATGCCCTTATGGACTCTTATGTCGGCAAGACAGACTTAACACTCAGAGACTGAATAAGTCTATAGATCATATCCCTCTTTTACCCCGTGGTGATGATAGATCTAAACTTCTCCTACAAAGGGAAATATACTGGATACACTAACTGGACACAGTAGTTCCCAAGGGACTGAATGAATACATTTCCTATTCTATGTTTTTGAAAATAGTTAAGATATAGTTTATAGATCCTGCTTTCCCGTGCTTACATTTAGCGCACCTGCTACATGAAATATAAATCCAATGTTAATAATGTACCGATAATTAAGGAAAATCGGCTAGCAGTTATTGATTTTTCTCCATTTTCTCTAAGACCTGCAATAGGAGAGATTAACTCGTATTTACTTTTTGTATCATAGGAAGATCTATAGATATATATATATATATTTATATAGTTAATACAATTTTAAACAAAAATCTGCACACCAGTCAAGCCATAAGACTTGCTTTTCCCATAGAAATCCCAAATCTGCAGTGATGTTACAACCGCAAAGGATTCTGGGTGGGTATATGCAAATTAGTTCAACAAAGAATCACATTTTTGCCTCATTCCATTTTAAACATGGATTCCTTTTAATCTATGTTTGCTGTATACAACTGCTTGGAACACAATTTAAGAAAAGATGCAAAACCAGTGAACCACTCATTTATATAGTGAACCACAGATTTACTATAGCTTACACTTCATTTATTTATCTTTGTGGCACATCCATTTAGCCAGATATGTATATAGTTATATTAACATGTATTTAATTTCTGCATTTCAGGCATTTATATGTTTATTCCAAGACAAAGCTTGATAGTAGCTTAAATTTAATCCAGGTATCTTTGTGGTACATTTATTTCTACCTGATATATATATATATATATATATATATATATATATATATATATATATATATATATATATATATATAGATATATAATGTTGTGATTTATCCTAGTATTGTCTGAGAAAGATCATATAAGGCTGACAATTTTGTTTATATGAACACAAATAGCTACTCTCTATGAGATAAATATGCACAAATTTAATATCTTTACATATTGCATATTGCATATAGCACCCAGCCCTTTACTATGTTTTACTATGTATTACTATTCTTAGAGTAATCTTTTTGACATTTTATTGGCTCTTGGGATTAGTCTCTCTCTTTTTTCATTTGGTTTTGGATGTTTGTTTGTTTTTCACATGCATGCTTATTAACTTATCACATGGCACCATTCTCACTGTCATTTACCTTTGTTACACATAACTGAGGCTTCCCAAGGTAGTCATAATAGGTTATGGCTACAAATAACTAAAAATACCTCCATTAATTGAAAAAAAACCCTCTTTTTTTCTTTCACGGAACTCCAGCACGGCACTGTTACTATGCATAACAGCACTTTGTTTACCAGCCACCTAGCAACCACGCAAACGCACACACACGCACGCACGTCAGGGTGCTCACGTGTCTCGCCTGTGCACTTCCAGGTTTGGAGGGAAGGAGCTACACACACTGTGTTTGGTAAGTGTTCATCACTAAAATTGTATTTAAACGTGTCATGTACACTATATATTTGATCTTGAAAAAGACCCTGAGGGGTAGAAACGTTGATCAGGACATCATATGAATAACACTGAATAAACTTCACGTTTGGATTAAGACCTATGAGTGCACCTCTTTTCTTAATACGAATATATATATATATATATATATATATATATATAAACAGGTTTTACTTTTTGCTATTTTTTTTTGTGCCAAAACAAATTGGCACGGTCAGCGTGCCTAAAACTGTGCTGACATGCAAAAAACAGCTACAATAATGTCTGCCATGATGGCTATATCTATGCTATGCAATATCTGAAATTTTTCCAGTTCTGAGTTGAGAAAATTAATGAAATAGAACTTTCCTTTATAATGATTGGTTGTAATCTTAATGCAAGTGAGAAACAGGAGTCATATCAAATTTAAAATGGGGATTTATCCAAAAATGAAAACACAAACTCAGTGGGCAATTCACTTACTCACCCCTTTCACCCTGACAAGCACAAATCATTCACATATCCTGTCCAGAGCATCAGTGACTAGTGATGTCCGGAACGGTTCGCCACGGACAGCGAACATATGCGCTCTTCGGTCCACCCCCTATTCGTCATCATTGAGTAAACTTTGACCCTGTACCTTACAGTCAGCAGACACATTCCAGCCAATCAGCAGCAGACCCTCCCTCCCAGACCCTCCCACCTCCTGGACAGCTCACTAAGAATGCAGCTTCACAATGAATGTAAAATGGATGCTGTCCAGGAGGTGGGAGGGTCTGGGAGGGAGGGTCTGCTGCTGATTGGCTGGAATGTGACTGCTGACTGTGAGGTACAGGGTCAAAGTTTACTCAATGATGACATAGGGGGCGGACAAACAGCGCATATGTTCGCCATCCGTGGCGAACCGTTCGGCGAACCGTTCGGGACATCACTATCAGTGACCTTCCTTCAGTGTGGGGAAAAAACAGTGTCCTATCAGCTGCTCCCAGCTGCATCTGGGAGACTCCCAATAAAAACATGCATGCATTTAATGATATATTTTTTTATTGGGATTATATCTAAAACAGCATGCAAAAGCTGCAAATCTCTTGTCTGTCCTTTTGTAAACCTTCTCATTCAAACCTTTCTATGGCTGTCTAATCACATGACTTGCACAGCACTTTGCAAGGTAGGTGCTCTGGAAAATTGCCTGCCTCTTGAGTTCAACTCAGCTGAGTTAAGCTACCAGGAAGTAACTAGATTGGACATATGATTGACAGACAGCTGGATGTAACAAGTTTAGTTTATAAAAGTTACAATTTCTATTGAAAATGTAAAAAGAGGACACACTCTTCATACATACACAAAAATCTAAGCTTTAGATTTTCAGAGTGTTCCATTGAAGCAAAAAATATAAACAATGTAAACAACTTCCTAAGAAAATTAAAGTAGGTCTGTCACTTAATAATAATAATACAAATTTTTTAAAAACAGACATATTCCTATACCCCTCCACCCCCTTACACGGGCCATTTTGTAATCCATATTTTCAAAGTTATACATGAGGAAAAGTAGGGAATATGTTTCTTTATGTACCACGTGCAGATTGACAAAGGACAATAGGTTCTGTTTGTCACAATCTCCCTCACAAACATTCATGGCTTAAGCTGCTAATAACACTATGGTATGCATTAAAAAAATGAAAGGAAAAAGTGATTGGGCAACTCCCACCCTGAGAAGAACAAAGCTTTCCGACACATACAGTCTGTAGTTTCAGTGTCTGTCCTTCAGTGTGGAAAGAAACTGTGCCCCTTCAAACTTCTCCTGAGTGCGTCTGTGGAGGGAGCAGATGCCATAAGAATCAGAAAAGCATGGCAAAACCTTTACAATGAGGGCATTTGAAAAAGTAACCAGCATCAGCTACAATTTTGTTTTTAAAATAAACCTGCCTAAGTGTGCCTCAAATTCTCTCTCATGTCCCTAAATTGAATATGTACTGGCACTAGCTGTCCTATTATTGTCAAATCACATGTTGAAATGACTGTAAGACAGTGTAAGGCAGGCCCACTTTTTGCTTGCTACTGAATCAAGAGTTGGCTAGTCCTCACACTACAGTGAAAATGCCCTGCAATTATCCTGCAACACTCAAGTGCGGTTTGCAAACCTCCTCCACGACCACCACCATACCCAGGTACTGTGGGCTACCACAAGTATGCCATCTGCTACAGTGCAAATAGATGTGAGGTGTTCAAACTCTCAGAACTCTAACCAGAAGTCAAATTTGTTTTCTACCTCTTTATCGGACAGCAGAACTCCTAAATTGTCCAGACCTCTTTTTTGATGGGGGCAAATAAGCAGCTTAGTTTGTCATAATGGACAAAACAAACCTCTTTTCTATCCTATACCCATTTTTCTGTGTACCAAAAATGGAACTCCGAATCAAGAATGAAAATGAGCATGTATGGTCTTGTGTGAGTTGGTTCCCTCAAGAATCTGGTGAATGACAGTTTAGAAATCAAAATTTCAGATAAAATTCTAGTTTATCCCCTACCCTGCTTTAGAAATTCCAGTTTGGCCTGAAAAGACTCTACAGTTCTAATATGATCTTTGAAGCTTCCTTTACTGTTTGGGAGTAAGGGAGGGGCTGTGGAATGTGTGGAATAAAAATTAATTCCTCTACAAGCTGTTAATTATTCGAGTATAAATAATAAGTGAGGTTTTCTAAACTAAAGTTAGTTTTGCAGAGCAGATAAAGGTAAAACAAATGTGTATATATGATATTGGTAGCAACGCTATTAAGTGCGTTAACCCCTATAGAAAAAAAAAATAGAGGACCTCAAAATTGCATTTTGATTTAGCTTGGAAATTCAAAGAAAATATGAAAATAGTTAACCCCTTAACGCCGTTACGGCGTTATATGCCGTTCCCCATTAAAAGGGCTTTAAAGCCGTTGCGGCGGCATAGAACGCCGTAACGGCTTTTAGCCCCTGGAGGTCCGGTGGACTTACCTCCACCGCGATCCTCTTTTGGAGGCATATGAGGCCTCCGGGGGCCATGTGATCGCTCTCAAAGAGCGATCACATGGCCCCCTATAGCTGGCTGTGGATCTGCCAGCAGGGGGGCTGTCTGAAATGTCAGACAGTCCCCCTGCTGGTGGGAAAGTAAAAAAAAAAAAAGAATTAAACATGTGTAAAATGAAAATAAATGTATTTTTATATATATATAATATATGTATATCTATTATACATATATAATATATATACATATTTTATATATATGTAACGTCATACAAAGTGTATTTTAATATTAATATAAGTACATATATTAGTATTAAAATACACTTAGAATGACGTTACATATATATAATATGTATATATATGATATATATAATAGATATATACACATATTATATATATATATATATATATATATATATATATATATATATATACGTCTAATTACAATAATAAATAAATAATAAAATAAATAAAATATTGAAACAAAATTTAATATAAATTATATATTCATATGTAATTTCATTCTAACTGTATTTTGTTATTAATATATATATATATTGGTAACAATATACACTTAGAATGACATTCTATATATATCTATATATATAAAATACAAATAACCGCAAATATATATTTATAGATAAATACATATAATTACATAAAAGATTACATTAGTATACACGTAGAATTTAAATACCTATAAATGCATATATATATATATATATTAAAATTCTACGTGTATATTTAAGTAATCTTTTAACATAATTATGTGATTTGATTAATTAAAATTTGATTGACATGCCTGACAACACAGGGAGAAAGTGCAGAGAATTTAATTCGCAAGCACTATATTTGACCCTTTAACTCTCCAAGACACCATAAAACCTGTATATAGGTGATACTGTTTTACTCGGGAGACTTCGCTGAACTCAAATATCAGTGTTTCAAAATGAGAAATTGTATTACAACGATGATATTTTAATTAAAAGTGAAATTTTTTGCATTTATTACAAACGAACGGCACTTTTATGGACTATATTATTGTTGTAATATGTTTTACTGTTTTAAAACACTAATATTTGTCTTTAGTGAAGTCTCCCGAGAATAACAGTACCCCCATGTACAGGTTTTATAGTGTTTTGGAAAGTTAGAGAGTCACATATAAGGCTTGCATTTCATTTTTTTGACATTGAAATTTTCCAGATTGGTTATGTTGCCTTTGAGAGCGTATGGTAGCCCAGGAATGAGAATTACCCCATGATGGCATACCATTTGCAAAAGTAGACAACCCGAGGTATTGCAAGTGGGGCTTGTCCAGTCTTTCTTAGTAGCCACTTAGTCACAAACACTGGCCAAATATTAGTTTTTTGCTTTTTCACACAAAAACAAATATGAACGCTAACTTTGGCCAGTGTTTGTGACTAAGTGGCTACTAAAAAAGACTAAACATACCCCACTTTCAATACCTTGGGTTGTCTACTTTTTCAAATGGTATGCCATTATGGGGGTAATTCTCATTCCTGGGCTACCACACCATCTCAAAGGGAACATTACTAATCTGGCAAATTTAAATTTGAAAATGTAATGTGCTAAATTTGACCCTGTAACTTTCCAAAACATCATAAAACCTGTTAATGGGGGGTACTGTTGTAATATTAGTTTTTTGCTTTTTTCACACAAAAACAAATATGAATGCTAACTTTGGCCAGTGTTTGTGACTAAGTGGCTACTAAAAAAGACTAAACATACCCCACTTTCAATACCTTGGGTTGTCTACTTTTTCAAATGGTATGCCATTATGGGGGTAATTCTCATTCCTGGGCTACCACACCATCTCAAAGGTAACATTACTAATCTGGAAAATTTCAATTTGAAAATGTAATGTGCTAAATATGACCCTGTAACTTTCCAAAACACCATAAAACCTGTTAATGGGGGGTACTGTTGTACTCGTGAGACATCGCTGATTACAAATATGTGCATTTTTTGCAGTAAAACCTAACAGTATTATGACATTAACAGCTAAAATTTCAGACGGAAATACAAATTTTAAAAAAATAAATCTTATTTTCTCACATTTTTTTTATTTTATTCATAATAAATTATGTTCCATATATAAATAGTTAATGATAAATTAAAGCCCTGTTTCTCCTGAACAAAATGATATATAATAAGTGTGGGTGCACTTAATGTGACAGCGGTGAATTACGGTTGAACAGACATATAGCGCAAATTCCAGTTTTTGTTTTACGTTTTGTTTTGATCAGGAAGTGTACTATTGACTCCGTCCTGAAGGGGTTAAAGAAAAAAAAAAATATTATTGCTTTATTGTTAAAATAAAACCCAAAAGATGATATACAAGCAGTATTTCTTTTTAAGTGTCTCACAAGTAATGTTATATTGATGTGCAAAATGCCAACACTTACACACTGATGAGCGAAAACCTTAAAACCACCTGCTTACTATATTGTAGGTCCCTATTATGCTGTCAAGACAGCTCGTATGTGGTGAGGCATGGACTCCCCAAGATCTCTAAAGTGGTATCTAGTACCAAGACGTTAGCAGCAGATCATTTAAGTGATAATAGTTGCGAGGCAGGGCCTTCATGGATCAGATTTGTTGTTCCAGTACATCCCACAGATGCTCACTCAGCCGGATTGAGATCTAGGGAATTTGGAGGTTAAGGCAACATCTTGATCTCTTTGTCAAGAACTCTTGGTTTTTGATCCATTTCTGACCAACTTTTGATCCAAAAGAAAACATGATTCATCAGACCATGCAACCCTCTTCCACTGCTGCATGATCTAGTTCTGATGCTCACAT